CGTCCGGAGCCAGCGCGCGAGGTGGGTCGCGCGGGCGACCCGCAGGGCCCGGCGCGTCATGCCGTGCGAGCGGTGCAGCGCCCACTGCCGCTGGATCACCCGCGCGGCGTGGGTGCCGAGTTGGAGGTGGCGGTAGGCCACCCGGGCGCGGTGGCGGCGCCAGGCGGCTTGGATGGTGGTCGCGGCGAGGTCCTCCCCGCGCGCGGCGAGGTGGTACTTCCGGGCAGGGTGGGCCAGCAGCGGCCGAAGCTCCTCCGCGTTCGCGATGCAGGGCAGCAGGTCCGCGGCGGTCACCCGGCAGCCCCGCTCGTACGACGCCAGCGCCGCTAGCTTCTTGCCGTCGATGTAGGCCAGGTCGACCTCGTAGCGCGTGAGGAAGTCCTCCAGGTGGTCCAGCAGCGCGCTCACGCCGTCCCAGGAGGCCTCGTAGTGGCGCTTGAAGGAGGCGAACTCGGGCGTGCTGCGCAGGGTCTTGCCCCGGCGGATGATGAACTCGTACATGGAGTAGAGGTCGAGGAGCTCGGTGTAGGTGCGGGGGTCGTCGCGGCCGTGGCTGTCGCTTTGGGAGGCCATTAAGGGATGTTTCGGCGTCGACTCGACGGAGGGGCGGGGGGGGTCGTGGTGGGCTTTGGACTTCTGAAGCCCTTCCCACGCCTTGAGCCCCGACACGTCTAAGGTCCTCGGGAGCTTGCCGATCGCCTGAAGGTCGAGCTTATAGTCCCCGACCGCGCTAAAAACGGAACATTGGGTCATGGTGATGGGCTTCTGTCGGCGATCAAAGTTGGTATAAATGGGCGCACTCTTGACCTGCATCAACCCACCTGAAGTCAGGGCAACCTCTAGGTCGCAGTCCGAGGGAAGCTGACTTCGTTCTAAAAGATAAAGAAGACCCTTTTCATTAGGGTTGTTTCCTACATTGGTTGTGGTTGCGCCCAGTGCTTTGGGCCTACGACGTGAATACAGATCGAGGATCTTACGCGTCTGAAGAGAGCTGTTCTTGAGTTTTGGAAAATCCATTTACATTCTACTAAGTGAAAAAACTTTCAGCGCATATAACGTATAAAATACCCACCGATGACGCATAAAATCGGACGAGGATAGGACCAACCACAACAAAAAAAAGAGGGGATAGAAATAGAGTTGAAAGCTAACCCGAGGTCATCCTAACAGCCTTATTGCCTTAGACAACGTTCACAAAAAAACAAGTCAAGAGAAAAAACTTACGAAGCATGCGTCTTAGTGCGAATGCTTTTAAGTCCGGCTTGTACTTTTAATAATCAGGAAACTACCCTTTCACAAAGTGGCTCTCCTTCATTACAAAAAAACAACCACAAGCTAGATATTCGCTCCAGTAAGGATGTCTAATGTTCTCCTCCTTAGCATTTTTTTTCATGTTATTTCATCACGAAGTTTAAGTTATCTTCCGCACCTTCCTTTTCAACGATATCCTCGTTCGCCACCTCAAGCGCTGTCGGGGCCTCACCGATGAGGCGCACCTTAATGGGCTCCTCCGCGTTGGGGTCGTGTGAAAGCCCAACGCGGATTTTTTCTAATTTCCTTCGCAGCACTGCAATCGCGTCGTACAAAATTTGAAGAACCGGCAGCACCCCGGTCGACTCCACCACAAACCGAAAGTCATAGTAGCCTTTGTGGTTTTTCTTCAGCCGAATGAACACCAAAGGCTCGGGGAGTTTATCAAACGGCGGGTCGGTCGAGAGGCACTCCCGCGAGAAAATGCACTCCTCCGGTTTGTCCAGAAGGACCTGATGGGTGCGATCGTCGTAGCGAAAGACATTTCGCGGACAGCGCGCCACCCACTGGCGGCAAAGCTCCGGCCCGAGTCGGGCGAAGCCCTCCGGGTTTAAAATAATCTCCGGCGCGTACCGCATCGCCACGGTCGCGACGGGCATAAACTTCGCGTGCGTTTTCGCGATATTTTTGCGAATCACGATGCGTAAACTGAGCTTTTGGGAGCGCCCCAGGGTGACCAACCAGACCCCTTTTTCCTCCGCGCTCACGGGGTAGACCTCGTCGTCGTCGATCTTGAGGGATTCGTTGACAAAGACGGGCAGGCTGTATTGGTGGGTGGGGCATTCGACGTGGAGCTCGCCCGTGATGGTGCAGTCCGTGCACCCCCCGCCATCGCACGGGCACTCCCGCGCGTAGTTCATCTGGCGGGCCTTCATCGAATACAACGGAATTAACCCCAGGCGGTGGGCGATCATCTCGTCGGGCAGAATTGAGGTGTTTTTGAGGATCGTCACCTCCTCAATCCCCAGGACGGGGATCTCCGCCAACATCACCCGGCGCAGCCCGTTCGCGAAGGAGTTGTCCACCTCGTTGAGGTGGAACTCAAGGGTTTCCCCGACCATGTGCGGCTTCTGCTGGCAATCTATAATTTCCACCTTCATGTTTGTTTAGTGTGATTTGTACCCCTACTGGGTTCGCTTTAGTACCCTAGTTTGGTTTCCAATGAGGATTCTCTACGGGAGCGTGGACGTCCCGCCGGTATCGGAAAGTTACTGGACTCGAATAAAGCAGAGCCAAGGTTAGATAGTGCATTTTTCATATTTTAACATATCGCCCCCCAAAGAAAATAAATCACCACACGGGTCAATATATTTCAGTTACAATGATCACCATGGATAGAATTTTGATGCAAGGGATTCCATGATTTTTTTTTGGATAATTGAGATACCAATACAAAACCTAGCATATATATAGATATATATATATATATATACCTA